CCTGAGAGGATGAATTCCTGTTTTTAAAGCCACCTGGTTTGTGATCAGCTGTTATGGCAGCCCTAGGGAACCAATACTCTTCTTTTCCTCCAATTTCACAAGAGCGGTGTTTCTCTTCCTGACAAACAGCTACGTATTCTCTGGAGCCTGAGGACTCCTGCCACAGGGGGACCTCCTTCCATTCATAACCACCTTCAGCCTCCCTTGCAGCTTCTTCCCAAAAGTCTGCAAACCTGTGACATCCCTCCCTGCAATCCACATCTCCTCTGCCCATCTCCTCCTCCCCTGCCTTCTCTGCTGAGGAGCAGTCTGCCTGACTGTCTCCTGCCTCCTCAGACTGCTGCCCTGGGTTCCCGCTCCCAGCTCTGCACGAAGATCTCCCTGGTGGCTTCTGTGTACCGTCAACTGTCCTCATCTTACCCGAATGTTCTCCTGCTCTGGACACTGACAATGGCCTTCTTTCCCTCCCCGGCCTTTCCCTGGCTCTCTTCTCACCATTCCTTTGTGAGCTGGCCTTCCTCTGCTCAGCTTTGCTGCCAAGGGTCCCCAGTGTCTCTACTGCATCCTCTCCTCTCATCTGCTCCTCCCCCCAGAACACCCCCGACCTCCCCTGCTCCCTTCATTTTAGTTCCCATCTCTGCTCTTGCCCCCAAATCTCGGTCTCCCAACCCATCTGCCTACCTGCCTGTCATCTCTACTAGCAAGTGCCCAGGTCCCTTGAGCTCACAGGGTCCCATACTGAACTCCTCATCCCCCATATGGGTTTCCAAAACCCACCATTCACCTCACCCCTGGTCCACCCTCCTTCCTCAATATGTCTCCACCGCTCCAGCCCTACCTGCTGCTGGGGTCCAGCTCCTTATCACCTCTCTCCTGGGTCATCACAGCAGATCCACTCCATCCTGTCTTGTTCACTCCACATGACCATGCATGTGGCAGTCAAAGAGACTCTCTCTCTCTCTCTTACAGGATCAAGTTCAATCCCTGTCCTCACCCCTAGGAAGACTTCCAAGGCCCTCCATAGCTGGTTTGGATGTGGCTTCTCCCAGTCCCCATCTCCTCCTCTTCCCTGACTGGTTCCTGGCACCCCACTGTCTCTCTCTGCGGCTTTGCTCTCTCCTGTAGCTCACCTGGCCCAAAATGCGGCCGCCCCACTGCTGTGGGCTCTTCTGTCTGTTCACCCCTCTGCACTCAGCCAGGGCTGGAAAATACCTAGATAGTATCCTTCAAGACCCCAAATTCAAGGTTACCACATTCACAAGCGTTTTCCACACCCTATTCCACTCCTCTCTCCAACCCTAGGAGAACACCATTCTTCCTCAGGGACTGTCCCGTGGAGGTATCTGCCAGAGCACTGGGGCTCTGTCTTCAGCCCATCTATTGAGATGCACAGCTGTCTTCTTGAGGTCAGGGATGTCTTCTAGATCATGGTTAGTGCTCAGTAAACATTGATATTGGGTAGATGGATTGAAGGCAGGAAGGCAGGAAAGAAAGAAGGAAAAAAGGAAGGAAGGAGGCAAGGGAGGGATGGAAGGAGGGAAGAAGGATAAATATAATAGGAGGAAATATTAGTATGTACTGGCCCAGGCATGCAAGCAGGTGATGGGCAGATGGACATGTTGGCCGATAGCGGGATCATAGCAGATGGTTTAGGCTGGATTGCCAGCCCCACAGATACTGAGAAGAGAAGACAGGGGAAGTGAGAAAGTTGTTAAGACACAAGACTTAGATCACAAGCTCGATCCCAGAATGAAGCAAGAGCCTAGTAACTAGGGTAACCAACTCATCCCAATTTGCAGGGTATTTGCCAGTTTTAGCACTGAATGTCCCACATCCTGGGAAATTCCTTGGTCCCAGGCAAATTGGGATGGTTGCCCATCCTACTAATAAACAAGACCAGGGCCCCAGTTCAGAGCAGGAGCAGCAGCTGGCCCTAGTGGCCCCCCATAGGTTCCTAAACAGGTCTCACTCAACTCCCCCGAAGACCAGGACAGGCCCAGAGCCAGTGTTGGGGAGCAGAGGACATGGAGACTGGGGTCCAAGCAGAGGAATGCCTGTTCTAACCAGAGCGAGGCACCATAGGAACAGCCATTCTCCCAAAGACCACGTCCCCACTCAGGCCCCTTCCCACCCACTGCTAGGCTCTAGAGGAGCAAATTCCCATATCCTGGCCACACTGGCCCACCCTACACATTCACCCTGGGTATTAAGGACTGAATTGTGTCTCTCTAAAATCTGTGTGCTCAAGTCTTGACCCCCAGTGTGACTGTATTCAGAGATAGGGCCTTTAGGGAGGGAACTGAAGTTAAATGAGGTTTCAGTGCCCGTGACTCAGTGATTAGGGCGCTGGCCACATACACCAAGGCAGGAGGGTTTGAACCCGGCCTGGGCCTGCTAAACAACAATGACAACTGCAACAAAAACATAGCTGGGCGTTGCAACAGTCACCTGTAGTCCCAGCTACTTGGAAGGCTGAGGCAAGAGAATCACTTAAGCCCAAGAGTTTGAGGGTGCTGTGAGCTGTGATGCCATAACACTCTACTGAGGGCAACATAGTGAGACTGTCTCCAAAAGAAAAGGTTTAAATGAGGTCATAAGGATGGAGCCAGGGCCACTAAGCTGATAAGATTAATGTCTCTATAAGAAGAGAAAGAGAAACCAGAGCACCCTCTGTGTGTGTGTGCAGGTGTGTGTGTGCGTGCACGTGTGTGTATGTATGTGTGTGTATACTCACAGAAGCCATGTGAAGATGCCCAGTGAAGGCAAGCAGCTCAAACAGGATGAGCGCCCTCACCATAAAGCAACCCCTGATCTTGGACTTCCAGCCTCCAGAGCTGGGAGAAAATAAACCTCTGTTGCTTAAGCCACTCCGCGTGTGATATTTTTTAATGATAGCCCAAGCCCAGTAACATACTGGGCGACTAAGCTTCTGAGAACCCTCCAATCCTCTCCCTTCAAAACTACCAGCCTCAGTCCCCATTGTTTCCAAGTCCTTTCTGAGTGGCAGTGGAGCGTGGTGACTTTCCCCAAATTCTCGAGACAGTCCTTAAAATGCCAGCTTGGAAAGTAGTCGATGTGATGTCCCTCCTTTGGGGTAGTTGGAACACAAACAGCACACGCAGCCTGGAGAAGCCCCACAGCATCTCCGTTAATCCCCTCTTTCCCAAAGCAGTTTCATCAGGAACCAATGTGCGGTGTCACACTGGTTCCCTATTGTTGCTGTAAATATTATCACAAACTTAGTGGTTTTGAGCAACACAGATTTATTCTTTTACAGTTGTAGAGACCAGAAATCCAAAATGGGTGTCACTGGGCTGCAATCAAGGTGCTGGAGCCTCCAGGGGAGGATCCATTCCTGGCCTCTCCAGTTTCTAGAAGCTTCCTCACCCTTTGGCTCCTGGCTAAGGAACATCCCAGTGTCTTTTCTCCTCCTGTTTACATCATCGCACTGGTGCCACCCTCTGAGTCCAATCTCCCACCTCTTTCTTGTAAGGGTCCTTGTGGCTACAACTGGGATCCACCTGGATGGTCCATGACAATCTCATTATTTCCACATCCTTTAATGTAATCACAAATCCCTCTTGTAGAAGGAATATTCACAGGTTTGGGGTATTAGGATGCAGCCGTCATTGGGGTTCCATTCATTATTCACCCCACGGCTGGTATGCAACATGGCGTCCACCCTATAGATATGCTTTGGAAACATCTAAGTCAGTGAGTTAAAGGATGCTTGCTTATGTCACATGGTGTAAATGGGAAGAAAGCAAAACCTAGACAGCAGGGACCCAGCCCCGCCTGTGTGGCCTTGGCTGACGACCTAATCTGTTCTGTCTTCTTACCCATTCAGTGGGAATGAACTGTGAGGTCACCAAGCACAAAACAAAAGCACAGTGCCCAGTAGTAATTATGCTGGTCTCTAGGTTGGGGCGGAGATCAGCGTCTCCCTGGCAGGGCTGTTGTAAGGATTATAACATAAGTCCTTTAATTTAAGGACTTGATTTAATGTATAGTATCTTTTAAATTGTCAATAAATACTAGTACTTACTATCCCTGGTGAAATCCAAAGACCCCCATGACTGGACCCCAAAATCATGAAGAAGGAAAGGGAAATGTCCTAGAGTTGTGGAGGGATCTGGCCCCCTGAACACCAAGGCTGCTCCTCCAGGCACCACTTCTGCTGCTCTGTCAACTCCCCCCCGCCCCCACCTGCAGCCACATGACCTTTGAGGTTAAGGCCTTACACAATGCATTGGGCTAAGAAGCCCCAGGCCCAGGGACCTCAGAAACATAGCAAGGTCTGAACCAGCCCCTTCACTTTGGAATTGCTCTTGAGAGTGTGGGACTGAGTTATGGAACCCCAACTTCAAGGTAAAAAAGGACAGTCTACCTGAGCCCACTGAAATCCTACAGACAGCCTTTTTTTCTGAGCAAAAAGCAATAGCCCTGGAGCTAGCCACTCCCTCTCTGCCCCTAATCTGTTGCATGACTTTGAAAATTCCCTTCATTACTCTGACCCTCAAGTCAGTTTTTGGTGAAATCATGGGGCTGGGTATAGACCCCTGCTTCTAGGCCATGGAGAGATTCTCTCAATCCCTCTCATTTCCACCAGAATCTGACTGCTGGAGTCTGTGGGGGAGCTCCCAGGCTCAAGCATGCACTCCTGAGGAACTACAGGAAATTGGCTGCAGAAAACACAGGAATCCAGCCTCGCAAAAGGGAAGGTTTGCTGAAAATATTTTTCCCTTTCCCTGTCTCTGCTCCTCCAATCTCCCAAACTGTAAACAAATAAATTTATGCAGTGCCTGGTGGCCTCTTTGGCCTGTCCCCAGGACTGCCAATGCCATTCCAGGCAGGGGGTGGCAGATGAAGGTTTGGGGGGACAGTGAGTGGGTGGCCTGCTCTGAGCTCCGGCTCAGACTGCTTTGCTTGTAGCCCGCCTGCTGGCTGGAAGTTGCCAGGACAGGAAAGGGCTGGCCGGGGCGGGGCCCGGGAGGGGTGGAGACAGGGCCTGCTGTGGTCAGTGACAAAAGCTGGCTGCAGTCCAGCCAGCCCTCTGCCCTTTCCTGAGCCTGACAGACTGCCACCTCCACTGGGTGCACACTTGGCCACAGGACAGAGTAAGTACAGACCCTACAATGGGAGGTCCCAGGGGCTTGCAGGTATTCAAGGAAAAGTGAGGGCGGGCTCTAAAGTTATGAGGTGCGGAGGGCTTCAAAGCTCTCGAGCAGTCCCATGTGTAGAAAAAGGCCCTGCAGTGTCTGAGATGAGCCTCCCAGCTGCGTGACCTTCGGCCGGACACTAAATCTGGCTGAGCTTCAGTGCCTGTATAGGTAAGGTGGAAATAATTACAGCTGTGCACAAAGATTAAACACAGTGGTGGCTCTCACCCAGGCACATCTGGTCATGTCTGCGGAGATGCTGGAGGACAGCTATTGGCATCTAGTGGGTGCTGCTACACACCTCCAGTGCATAGGACAGCCCCGCCACAATGCAGGATCGTGCGCAGAGTGTCAGCAGGGCCCAGGTGGAGAAACTCTGAACTAAGGCAGTGGGGACTAAACGTCTGCTAGACAGGAGGCGGTCAGTAAACAGCAGCGTGTGCCTGGAGACTCGCACTTTTAGAAATCAGAAAAAATTATCCAATACTATCTGCTTCCCTGAGCGTGTGGCTGCCACCCAGGACGCTCAAGGTGGCCACTCGTGAGTAAAAGGAGATGTTCGACAGTTTGCTGAATAAGCAAAAGGTAGAAATAAAGTGAGTGGAATTTTCAGTTTCCCTCAGGATGGAGATCTTAAGAAATGCAGCAATAAAAGGGGAAACTGCTCCCCTGGGCCAGCCTCCTCCCTCACAGATCAGGACACTGAAGCATGGAGCTGTCTGGAGCTGATGGTCTTGGTTATGGCCTTGATTGTGGGGCTGTGCCCACAGGTGTAGAGTTATCTCCAAATGCAAGGTGTGGACATTACTCCGTATGAGGTCGGACCATTAAGTTTCTGAACTCATCCAAGGAAAAGTGCTACATACCTCATTGCTAAATATCACTGTGGTCACCAGATGGCTAAGGGGAGTACTTTGAAGGATTAATAACGTTTCAGCGGTGAGGTAGGTAGTACTTTTTCTCCGGATCCTGAAGGCCCGGGAACAGAGCTTCCTGGGAGAAGTGACTTTTTGTAGGATGAGTTTGCAAATTTAATTGTCAGACCTTGTACATACGTACAGCGTTTTGTAGGGCAGTTATACCTCAATCAAGCAGAAATGAAATGACAGGGAGGGAGTGATTCAAGGCCACCCGGCCAGTGGGCCCTGCAGCCAGGGAGGACTCAATTCTGGACGCCCAGCCTGGCTCTGCTTCCTTTGCTCTGTGTTCAGCTTGTGGTCTAACACCTCTGAATTGCGGAGGAGCAGGCGGGAGTCTGTTCATTCATTCATGCACGCAGGCTTTCATCCCACAAAGGCTTATGGAGCACTTTCCCTGTGACCGCAAGGTCTGGGAGCTGAGAACAGCACAGATGGGGGTCCTCTCTGGTAGGAGCATATACCCTACGGGGACACAGGCCAAAATGAAGATGTCATCAACAGTGGCACACAGATAATTGATGGGCCTTTAAGAGAAACAATCAGGGGTCCTCTAGAGAAGAGCGGCAGAAGGGGAGAGAGCCCAGCATGCTAGGGTATCGCAAAGTGACATGTAAGCAGGGACCTGAGGAGCACACTGTAGAAAGGTCAGGAAAGGATCAGGAGAGATAGCAGAATATGCAAAGTCCAGGGGTGGGAGGGACAGAGCCCGGTGTGTTTGAGGAATTAGGAAAAGAAGAGTGAGCCTGGGGGCCTCAGAGTGGGTCCAGGGGCAGCTGGCCAGAGCCAGGTCACATGGGGCCTCTGGGTTAGAGCACAAATCAGGATCAGATTTTACTCCGAATGCTGGGGATGTTGTGACTGTGTTCAAAATTGAAGGGGTTTCTTTTATACACTATATAGAATGACCCATCAGGCAAAAGAGGAAGAAGCTACGGAGCAATGGAGGGGGGCAGGTTCCGTGACTGGAAAGTGAGGAAAAGGCAGCAGATTTAAGACCTGTTTTGAGGTAGAATCTACCAAGCCTTGCTGATGTGGTGCAGGCAAGAAACGAGGTCAAGGTTACTTCTCCCAGGAAGCTCTGCTCCTGGGCCTTCAGGATCCAGAGCAAACTGTGGCTCTGTTTTTCCCTCTCTGCCTGGGCTCCAGGGCTCACACACCTTCTTGTAATTAGCAGATCTTGGACAGACACTCCTCACCTGCACACTTGCCACAGCTGAGCCCAAAGTCGGCCTGAGCAGAACTTCGCTGCCCAGCACTGGGAACATAAGCCAGCAGAGTAGGGGTGTGCGGATGGTGGAGGCCAGTGGGAGGACTGCCCAGGGCCTGCCCACTCCGTCCCTGCTCCTGCCACCTCAAGACATCTTAGCCTGAGATGACAGATGAACTTGACTGAGCTTCTTTCTTCCTTCTGCAAAAACAGTAATGTCAGGGCCCAGGAGAGGGGCAGCCAGGCCAGCTCTCCGGCACTCAGTGGGGGCTAATCTGAGGAGTGGGAGGAACCTTGGCCCTGGAGCAGGCTTACCCCTGGCTTGGAGGTGACAAAAAACTTTCTTTTTTTTTTTTTTTTTTTT